CTAACAAGCAGATATGAGGGAAAATTAATCCTGTTTATTCTCATCCAGCTGATTTGGTTCTTTGAAAGCAGTTTCAGGATTGATTTGATAACCCTGGATGCAGTGCGCTCTTTTCTGAAATAAAGGTAAAACTACTGGAGAGTTGAAACCATGAGCAGCATGCATATGATTGGCTAACTGCTGATCATGTGATTGTGGATACATGAGGTAGGTGTGATGAGAATCGGCCCAGCATGCATTGATTTAATACATTCAATCATCATCTCATTTTATAAGTGTTCCTGCATTGTTACGGGTGTCAATTTGTTCGAAATTTTGCTCAGCAATAGGCATTTTCAAACTGGAGAAAGTTTTATTATATTTCTAAGAACGCCACTTTTTATTGTGTCCACACTGCCAGAGCTAGAAACAATCGTGGTTCTTAAAAGGCTGCTTTGATGGACTTTTTCAGCTCCTATTTCAGAGGAGGCTTGAGTGATGTAAATGTGTATTGATTGGTCCAGACCTGAGTGTATTGCAACTGGTTGAACACATGAACCAATGCAGCAATGTTAACCACCATTTAAAAATAAATAAATAAAACAAATGACCATTGGCTGTGTCAGCAACAGGCAACACTAAACACAAACCGATGGTGGAAACAGACCGATGATGAAGTCCAGGTTTAACTGAACATATCTGCAACAGGGAAATTACACCACAAAGCATTCATTATAACAAGAACTGGAAACTTTTTGTCTATATGTCACCAGGACCGTGGATTCCTAAATTAACCAACCACTCAACAGATTACTATTGTTTGGCTGGTGAGTGGAGCAAATCCAACAGCCGCTTGCAGATTTTACCAGCACATGGCTGGTGTCTGGTGCTAATTTCCAGCCCTAATTATGACTATATCACATCAAACACAATGTTACTACAATTTGCACTACAATTTGCACAAAAACCCCACAAATTTTATTGGGGACCCACTCAAATAACCTTCTGTGGGTTCCAGGGACTCACTACAATGAAAACCTCTCTGACAACAACATTTCTGACTCAGTTATTCACGTATGAAGAATGAGGCAGTGTACATCCTGTACTGCTTCCAAAACCACCACAGGGTTAACAAGTGTTTATACTGAGAGTCATTTCAATTACAACCAGTTCCAAACTAACGAGAACCAGATTTTTTTTGTTGTTTATTTAATCATTTTAAGCCTTTTAAATGGGCTTGTAAATTCCTGAAAGCAACGTTTGGTCTGCTGCACCTCTGTCTTCATTGCTGGTGACACATATTTCGACCCACATGAAGAGAGTTACGGTTGACTGGAGCAAGTGCTGAAAAGTATGGCTAAGAAATGAGGAAGCTCGCTTCACATGACAAAGAATGTGACAGGAAGTTTAAAACATGTTATGTGTGTGCCTTATTCATTAAGACATCCCACTAAACTGTGAGGGAATTACCTTTATTCTTTGAATTTAGGTTTCTGGAAAAAATTAAAGGACGACTCTTACTACGTTCAGACTCAAAATCAAGCAGTTTTCACTGTATAAATTTGAAGAATCACCAAAATTGAAGTCCCACATTTGCACACCTTGAAGTAGCTACATTTCTAAATAGCTGAGGTGCAAACGTTGGTAAGTTCAGCTATGATCCCAGTGAGCACCAGAAAGCTTCAGATCTAAGAAGCTGAGAGTGACTTTTTCCTTTAAATTACAACAGCACAGTGTTATTTCTGTAAACGGTGTATCTATGACCAAAGCATTTACAAGTAATGCAGTTAAAATGGAGAAAATATGAATTTTCAATTCAAAGGGATACTTTGCCGATTTTCAACCAGCTTTGTGTCATAACAACGTGGGTATGTGTAAATGAACTGTGCACTTCGGCTGACCAGTGCCCAGATCTTCCTGCTCATCTCCCAGCTCAAATCTGCTGGGCCTGATGCTCAAACTATAGATTGTTCTTCCTCATTTTCACAGGCCCGCCACCACGAACACAGAGTACAAAAGCCGATCAAGAGAGAAAACCACCCCCCTCATCTCTCTCTGGTCTCTCAAACACAAACCAAAATCCAATTAAACTGTAAACTAGGCAGTGCTGATCAAATGTAAACCAATACTGTGTTACTGTATTGCCTATTTCTTGCCTAAAATGTTGTCAGAAATACATTTCAGCGCAGCGTTTGGCTCTAATATGACAGTGCAGTGCTGATTAAAGATGAACCACGCTTCTGTTACCATGTTGCATATATCATCCCTCAAATGTTTTCAGACACACGTTTTAGTTTACTGCTAAACTATACTTACAGATTGTTTGTTGCCGACTGGTTGCCATATTGTTCCTGTGTCAAAACAGACAAGCTTGTGTTACATCACCTAAAAGTGGAAGTGTTTCTTGGTCCAGTGCGGCGCAGTGCATTCTGGTATTTTGAGGTTTTCTACTTCTTGAGCGAAAGCGAATGTGTCTGTTTTCTGGCCATGTAGCACTAACATCACAACTAATTGATTGATGATTGATTCTCCTCTACAGACAACCCAGTTTTATGAAAAGACCATCTTTAATAGCTGTGAAATACTTCTTTAAGTAGTGCTCCTAAAATTTTCAGCAGGAAGCATCGGTGCTGCTTGTGGAAAAATTGGAGACAGACTCTTTGTAAACTCCATGCTGACAGGAGGCTGCAGTCCACCAGGATCCAAACCTCATGCTACAAAAACTGCTTCTTCCCATCTGCAGCTGGCCTTTTCCTGCACGAGACTTTTTAATTCTTTTTAACAGCTAGGGTATACAGTTGAGGTCAAAAGTTTACATACACTCATAAAGAACACGTTTGTCATAGATAGGGTTGCGACTGCATGAGATTTGTATGGTACGATAACTATCTCAGGAAAACAGCCATCCACAAGCGTCTGGTTGAATCTCTGACCGCTGCTCTTGAGCGAATTGGTGCAGTTCAAATAAATTTGTCGGCTATCTGTCATGGACTTGTTTCTGCAACAAAGTCAAAGTGCTCTTGATGAGGTTAAAGTCAGTACTTTGGGAACCTTAATCTAATCATTTAGCCATTCTGTTACCACTTTTGATGTGTGATTGGGGTCATTGTCCTGTTGGAAAACCCAACTGCATCCAAGTCTTCTGGCTGATGATTTTATGTTTGGGGGGCAGTTGATCGGGGAACTGTAGCTGCTTTGAAATGGCTCTAAGTGACTTTCCTGACTTTTTAAATTCAGTGATGCTGTTTTTCAGATCCATACTGAGCTCCATTGTAGTGTTTGTGGCTGAATCTAATTTGTGTATCAAACAGGCCCGATCTAAATGGGCTCAGAGAAGTCTCCTGCTGTAAGCCCGTTTTACACTGCCTAGTCAAAGTGGGAATATTGCGCCATTATGCCGTCTTGCTGTTCTGTAAATAAGGTACGATTGCAGCATGGGGGGGACAGAGCTGTCTTGCCACTGAGCCGTGTGGGAAGTTGTGGGAATGTAGGTAGTAACAGTGCAGAAACAACTTCTGTCTGAATGACAGCCGGCAGGACGGGATCAGTGTAGCTGGCAGCAGCTTGCGGCCTCTCAAAGAAGAAGAAAAGTGTCCGAAAATGTCTGCAAACTAGGGCTGCCACGATTAGTCGACTAATCGATGACTAATCGACTATTAAAATAATCGGTGACTATTTTAGTAGTCGACTAATGGGTTTGAGTCATTTTTCATAGAAAAGTACTATAAAAGTAGCCAAAATATTATTACTGCAGCTTTTTATGTTCAGATATTGGCAGCTTTACACACTCACCTGTGACAGTGAACTAAAACCCTTTGGCATGAATAGGAAACAAGACATTAGATGACGTAATTTTAGGGTTTGGGCGAGACAGACCGACATTTTTCAACATTTTAACACTTTTTTCGATGAAATTATTAGTCGACTAATCGAAGAAATAATCGACAGATTAGTCGACAATGAAAATAATCGTTAGTGGCAGCCCTACTGCAAACTGGAAAAACAATGAGGTCCAGGAGCTCCTTAGCCTCCGAATAGAGGACGAGATCAGCCACCATATAACAGGGATGGTAAATAATTGTTATTGCCATGTTTTCCCATTGCTTTTGTTTATAAAGCGCTGCCAATGTGTATATGTATATGTGTTATATGTCACACTGGGGGCTGACACTCTTGTGGCACGCCATGCCCTTCACGCTTCTGATTATGCAACGCCCGCATCATGCTATCTTAAATCACACACAGGAGCCACTGCTGTTTGGTTCTGTGTAAAAAGCAAAGGCGGCATGAAGACGGGACCTTGTGGCAGATCTATGGCACAATCTCAGTGTCACAAGAAACAAAGAGGTCGTGCCACTTTGTACATCACCAAACTTGATAATTCAGGTTGCTGTATGTGTATTTTTGACCCTGCAGATTGCACACACTTTCAGATAATCCATGTTAAATTCATTACTGTTCTTTGTGATAAAGTAGTAGGAGCTTTATTCATTTCATCACAGAGAAATAAAAGTTGTGGATATTTGGGGAACTTGACACTGCCATGACAAACATGTTCCTTACAAGTGTGTGTAAACTTGTGACCACAACTGTACTGTACACCTTTTATGTTAAGCTGTCTATATTTATGTTCTTGACTGTTGCAGTACTTTACCTCTATTTTTTATACTTTATGTTTTTATTGTATGCTTCAAACACAATGGTCAGTTCCTTTCTGTAAACCTACTTGGTAATAAATCTGAATTTCATTGTGGTTAATAACTTTTTTTTAGCTCCTTCCTAGTTTGATCTGTGGGCTCTCTGTGTGGTCATGTAATTCTTCAGCATGATCCCCTGCTGTCATAAAAACACACATTTAAAATGGAGTCAGGGGACCGTGTGGACTGACAGGTAAATTCAGGTAAATGTAGCCTGACAACTGCCAACTTCCCGGTTCCTCCTGTGCCGTTAGCCTGCGGGCTAAACTAACAAACTAACTAACTAATTAACCCTCCAAATCACTTCAGGAGCTTCTTCCTCACCTCGTTTGTTTTTCGTGCCGTTCTTCTTCGCCGTTAAGAGCTCCTGCTCCACTTTCTTCTCTAGAAATTCCTGTTTTTTGGCCAACATCTCCTCGGTTTCTCGGAGTTTCTGGATAGCCTCCTGAGGTGTCGGCGCTTTTCCACTCTTCCCCCCGCCGCCGAATAGCCTCATTATACCCGACATGTTGTTGTTAAATGTAAACAATAACGGCTGTGTTAACCGTACAAGAGCAGCCGGTACTTCGTGATACCGGACAGGGTGTCGTTAAATCGCTGTGTTGTCTTTTCTCGTCAGCTATCGTCGCCTCGCCGGAGGGCTGCCGCCGCTGCTGCTGCTGTTGTTTTCTTCCCTTCTTCCGCTCTTCCAGAAAGGCCTCGTGATGTCATTACGTCAGCGCTGTTACATGACTCACGCGTGAGTTCAGTGCGTGGACAGTTTTTTTTTTGTTTTTTTTTTAAAGATTATTGGCGTTTGTTATATTATAATTGTCGTTTACAGACATGACTGATTAATATTTTAAAGATTTTATTTTTTATATATATAGATTAAAATCAAGACTAGTCCATACCCACTTAGTGCACAGTTGCCCACGTACAGTTTCACATGGTGTGTGTTTGGGATACAGGTCATAGGAAATTGCAGATTAAATAGTCAACTGATCCCATTAAGAAGAGCAATGTATTCAGACAGAGATTTTGTGGATTTGATAGTACGATTGCTTTATTGAAAGTACAGTAGTATCATTGCCAATAGTGGGATAGTTAGTGGGCTAAAACTGTACATTAGTAGTTGAGGTAGCACGTTGAAAGGCACATAGTTAAAGTGTTTATATGTTGTATTGACTTAACAGTGGTTGTTCACATGGGAAACACAGATTGACCAAGTCAGTGAGTAGAAAAACGTGGGACAGAATGACACGCTGACAGTTTCCATGACTATGTACAGCATACCATACCATGACTTAGTCATACCAACAAAACAACAACATTGGTCCACAGGGGGAGCCACAGCGATCGGTCACATTTTAGCCATTTTTAAGCATATTTCTGTTGTTATAGTGCCACCCAGTTGCCAATTAGAGTTAAATTTCTCCAGTCACCTTGAGGCGTCCTGTTCTACATATCTACCAAGTTTAGTAAAAATCCATATGGCAGTTAGGCCTAGATAAGAAATTAGCTCTCTAGCGCCCCCATTTTGTTTGATGGGGTCAATAATGGAGGGGTCCCCTCAGATTATGTGTGGTCATATGCCTACAAAGTTGCGTGGTGATGGGTGAAACCCTTGAGATGTTATACACCTTTATGTGATGAGCCACGCCCTCCGCAATATTCATTGCCTTATAGAAGCTCAGTTTTAGTAAGTTTTCCAACTTTTGCCAAGAGGGAACTTTAGATATTGGTCCCTAGATTATGTTCACCCAGTTTCATGCAGATCGCTCAAACTTCCTAGGAAGAGATCGATTTGAAGTGTTTTTCAAAAAATTCAAAATGGCGGAAAATCTCTATAAGCGGAAGTTATGGGTTCTTGAGGCAAATTTGTTCTTCATGAGGAGAGGCATCTCTGTGCAAAGTTTCATGTCTCTACGACATACGGGGCATGAGATATGCCCATTCAAAGTTTGCCATTTCAATCAGTTGCTATAGCGCCCCCCTTTGGCCAATTGATGTAATATTGCTTCATTCACATCCTCCCATGACCCTCTACCACTGTGCCAAATTTCACATGGATTGACCAATTCAGTGAGGAGAAAAACATGGAACAGACACACAGACAGAGTTTTCGTCATTATATAGTAAGATATAGTAAGATTATTAACATGTTGTTGTTATTATTATGTAGGCTACATAAATTGCATTAAACTGTTATTAATATTACTATTATTATGATAATAATAATAATTATTATTATTAGTAGCAGTAGGACTGGTTCAAACCTTTAATTTAAGACTCTGGAAATCAGGTGAGGGAGACCCTCATTTCAATGATGCCGAGAATGAACAAAGTCATTAAAACAATTAATAGGCAAACAAAGAACAATCATGCATATTAATTAAAACAAAAATGAAATCATACAAAACAACAACAGCAATAAATGTGCTCTAAAAGTAGAAATACAGGGTGATAAACATGCTAAGGTGTAGATGTATACTTAAAAACTTTTACACTCAATTAAAACAAGATCTGAAATAAGGCACTTAAACTGCCATAAGGGCGGCAGACTGTTTAAGGTCTTTTGTAGATTATTCCAAGTATAAGGAGCACTGTAAAAGAATGACATTCTTCCTGGTTCAGTTCTGATTAAAGGAGTGTGAAGCAACAACTTGTTCTGTGAACGAGTACCATAATTATGTGAGGACAGAGTTAAGATTTATGAAATATAGGGTGGAAGCATCTGTATCAATGCTTTATAAATGAACAAATACCAATGCTGCTCTCGCTGCACAGCCAAATGTGGCCAGCCAACCTTTCGGTAAAGGTGTGATGGGTGCTGTAAGGATCACCTGTAATGAACCACACCTACTACTCCTTCCTAATTAACAGCGTCTTATCTTGTTGCTGTTGCCATGTCAAACTACAAACATTATTATTCATCAATAAACAAGTTTCAACCATAGCTTTTATGTCAGGATCAGCTGCAGACTGACTCAGTAGAGATGGCTGCCAACTTATTTATGTGAATTGGTGTATTGTGCTCTTGCTACCACTAGATGGCACAAAAGTGTCTACGAACGAGGACAACAGGTCTAAGTATAGTAGAATAAAGTATAAGGTCAAGTAGACTCAAAATGTGATGTCGTTATGTGACGACACAGGGTCTCAGGAGGATAGTGAAGAACAAGAGTTATAGAAGGACATAAAAGACCATTTCGAGAACATTCCACATCTGGAAAGCTTTTTTGGAACATGTATTCTCAGGATTGATTTAATGTCTGTCTTTAGTTGATGCTACATTCTCGTAGCTCACTGAGTCAGTGATCAGCTGAGACAACACAGAGCGGTGGCTTCCACTCAGCTGCAGGCGTCGAAAGGCCAGCCCAGCTCCTTCAGAAAACTACGCCTCCCATGATGCATCGTGATGTGCTTTTCAAGTTGAAGATGTGAGTGAGCCGAACGCCAGCCAATCAGGGCCTGAGTTGTCTGAGGAACCGGAGGAGAGGGGCCGACCTGGGAGGGATACAGACGTGGTGTGAAAGATTGAGATGGATGGATGGATGGATGGATGGATGGATGGATGGAAGGATGGATGTACAACAGACAGACAGATGGATATCATACGTGGATGGATTTATCAGGAGTGGTCGCAGGTCCAGATGCCAGGTGATGAGGAGGCTTGACTCGGACCTCCTCCTTCAGCTTCACACTCTCCCCCTCGTACTGCAATACATAGAACATACACCTTGAGTACTGTCCACTAATGTGTGAATGCAAAGACTTGAAACAATATCTGTGTCAGTATGTGCAATTTGGTGTCTTGCCTGTAATACACTTGCTGTGGCATTTTTTCAACAGTAGAGGGCAGTGTGTGACTGGTTACAGAGTGGTAAACTGTGTGTGTGTGTGTGTGTGTGTGTGTGTGTGTGTGTGAATGAATGAATGAATGAATGAATGAATGAGTTTTATTTTCGTGTCATGTCCAAAGACCCATCCCTTACAGGATTATAAGACACCAGAAAAAGAAAGTCATCAGTTTACAAAATCACATCCACTTAATTTGGGGGCTACACAATTTACACCAGAAAAACGAAACAAAAACAAACAAAATAATAGTTCTTTCTCCACAACAAAACCAAAATAGATATTTTTACATATATGTTACTTTTCTTCGTTTATCCCAAGCTTTCTCTAAATAGTCAGCAAGTGCGAATACTTTGTAATCAAAAATCCATTTGAGCCTCTCAGCATCATTCAACCACATCAAATCTAAATTCTTACACCTGTTAAATAATTTCTGACGCAACTCATGGTACAGAGAACAATAAAAAACAAAATGGAACTCATTTTCAGTATCATTAATATCACAATATGAACAAAACCTCTCTTCTTCTGAGACCCCCCGATAACTTCCTGTCTCAAGATGCAGAGGCAGGATTCCAGAACGGAGCTGGGCACATAGTGATCATCTTTTAGATAAAGGGGCACGAACATACTTTTCACTGCCATAACAGCTTTTTATTATGCTATATGTTCTTAATTTTGGTTTATACAGTGTGTCCTGTGACCATTTAATCTGGCATTCTTTAAACAAGGCTTCTTTAGCCAAAGAGACGTCCACAGTGATCACATTCTGAAATACATCCAATGCACCAATCCTCATAAGTATATCTTCTACTTCACTTGCCCATGCACCTTTTATCATGACATCCCATTTGAATATTTTCTTGGCAACTCTACTCTCTGGCATCTTCACTATTCTGTTCCATAAAGCTAACATGCCACCTTTCCAATGCACCTCACACGGCTCCCATCCCATATCTCACGTTATAGCAAGTATTGGTGCAAATTTGTGGACCCCCAAAAAATGTCGTATTGCCCTATTCTGTACCTTTTGTCCATTCATGTTTTCCTTTGAGCCCCATACTCCTGCCATATAATCAATAACAGTGTGTGTGTGTGTGTGTGTGTGTGTGTGTACCTCCTTGTACACCTCGGTCAGGAAGCCCCACTTGTTGGGCCAGACCTCAGCCGAATCCTTCTCAACTTTTACATGTGCTTTCCTACACACACACACACACACACACACACACACACACATACATACACAATAAGTTTAAAGCAACATTATGCAACCTTTTTTTTTTAACCTTAAAATAACAGCTTTATTATCATTGAGTTCTGTGGTTCCCAAATGGTCGTCACGGTGTCCACATTTCTCCTTAGGGTGCATTCACACCAGATTAGTCTGGGGGACTCGGTTCGATTGGGCGGGGAATGCCGAAAAATTTCATACTTTCATTTGGTTTGGTTCACTTTCACACTGTACTTTTTAAAGTGGACCAAACCACCTGGACAACGTCACGCAGTTACAACAGCTGCTCGTTTGGGGGCGGTATTGCCCCAAACGACCACTGACCAGGAAGAAAAAAAGCATGAGGAAGAATAAAACCCCGCTCATCGATTGGCCAGGACCGAAAATGGAAATCCATCCAACTAACCATTGATATATAGTCCTCTGACCATATACCAATAAGCGTCTGCACCTCCTCACTACTCCACGTCTGCCCACGAGACATTTTCCAACTTTTTCTTTTTTTCTACCTCTGCTTCTCCTGGTTGGCGCTGTTGGCTTTGTTTTTTTTCTACCCAAAATGCACTGCGTTCTACGTCACTTCTTCTCTTTGGTTCACTGGATAGTCTGTTTGCATTTCCCACTATAAGCAAACCGCACCAGGGTTCACTTGTAAGTGAACCGAGACCCCCAGTTTTCAAGCGGACCAGAGTTCCCTCGTTTGGTCCACACCAGAGTTCGAATGAGCGTTCACACCACTCCAAACGAACCAAACTATCCGTGGAAGCGGACCAGGGTTTATTTAAAGCGGACCAAATAGCGCCAGTTTGAATGCGTCCTTTGTCATTCGTTCAAGGTCCACACAGTTTAATATACTCAGCATCATACTTGCACTTGGCCATGTCGTCAAGCTAGTTTGCTGTCTCTGTCATGTAGCAGTCCAGTGGTCACTAAAGGTGCTGACACACCAGGCCGACAGTCGGCCGTTGGCCAATGTCGGGCCGTCAGTGAGCATCTGTCACCCTAGTTTTTGCGGTGTGTCCCGCACCGTTGGCACTAGTCGGACCCCTGTCGGCGGCTTTTCAGCCGATTGAGCATGTTGAATCGGCAGCGGAGCTTGTTGGTGAGAGAGATTACTCTGATTGGCTGTTCAGGTTTTATTCCCTCGCCCCTGTAGCGAGTGAATCTGCCTGTAGTGAAACCGGGGCTAACCAGTGCTTCCTCCTCAGGCTCCGCAGCATGACCGGAGGAAAGCACAGCCAGTTGGCCTCAGCTAGCCTCCCAGCTAGCCCCGGTTCTCCGTTTGGATCCAACCGGAGCACCGAGCCCTGGTTTGTTATTCAGGTTAAAGTGGGAAGAAGCAGCAGGTTTGTCGGGCAGCTGAGTGAAGTGGAGCCTGAGGAGAAAACACCAGGACCGTCTGGATGTAATAGTCCGTGGAGGTGCTGCGGTGCTCGGCTGCACAGATAGGAAACCCTTTGGCTGACAGGATGTACCACTTTCTTTGACAAAACTTTTTCTTCTTCTTCTTTTTGGTTTATAACAGCGGTAAGCAACGGCTACTTTGTTTATCTCATGCATTCCTCGGACTTCTGGTTTCCCTTTTTGAGTTATTTCCTCTCAAGCAAGCGCAGATCGTACGTGCTAGTTGGCTGTCGGATGTAGTCTTTGTAGTGTGTTCAAACGCAACTGACACAGGGTGACGTGAGGCGATGTGAGGCGACGTGAGACGACGCAACAGTAGAAAACTGCTCTTCAAAATAACAGCTCTGTGCCGGAAATTCACTGTCTTTCAAAATAAAGTGTGTTTTTTTACAAAGCTGATGACCTCTTCAAGAAGGTCTCGGTTTGGTTGTTATGGTGCACACCTGAGTGATTGCTGTGTTCACACCTGCCCAAATGAACCGCACTTAGGATGCAAATGGTGCGATTGAACCGAACCAAACAGGGCAGGTGTGAAAGCACCCTAAGTGTTATTCAAATCTATGGACATCCTGCTTGACAGAGCACTGACAGGGAAAAGAAATCCATAGAGAGCATAAGCAGCACTCATAGTAATGTATGGTGACAAAATAATAAATGGCTTCTCTTTGCTACAACAAAGTGGCCTTCACATTTACAGAGAGTATGAACACAAAACCTTAATTTCAGGAAGAACTGGGAAACATGGATGAAGCAAGCTGATGTGACCGCTTTAACAGTTTATTGCTACAACCACAACAAAAACATATTTGGAGTTGCTCATCATGAAGAGATAATTTTCCTAAATTAAAGAGAACCTTTTCACATTTTAACAAGATCATTTTTAAAGCTGTAATGACACATATTTCTCTTTAATGCTACATATTAATTATTGACATTTTTAGGCACTTGTTATTTATAGCTTATCATTTCATCTTAAAAATGTCTTATTACAAAAACAGACGTATCTCATTAAAACAAGTTATGCTTATTATTAGAATGACACACCAAATCTCATTAAACCCCAAAACCTTTCTCGCTATATAAGTTAGTATGGCAAGCTGTATTTGTTATATAACATATTTCATACCCAGGGAGAGACACAATGAAGACTGAGAGGAAAAAAGAAACAAGAAGAGAGAGTAAAACATGATAACAATATTCTCAGTATTAATAATAATAGTAAAAATGGTAATAGTCTTTCACAACAGCAAACAGGAAGACACAGCTCATGTTTTAAAACAAGACAAAGATTCAGAATTTTAAACATCTAGCCACCAATGCTACATCAATACACTTCACCATTTTCATAAAGAATAATTTGAATAAAAACACAAATGATGCACAGTGCTAAAACAAGTTAGAAGATTTACCAGATTTCATCCTGATGCACAAAGTTGATGGGCTCAGATGTTCGCTGTGAAGCCGCCATCTGTCCTGACCAGTGTGTGTGTGTGTGTGTGTGTGTGTGTGAGTGTGTGTGTGTGAGTGTCAGTATGTGTGGCTTCTTTCTCTCGGCCCAGCTAATGTTTCACCTGTGTGTAAGTCACACTGACAGACCTGTTTACCGTCGCCAGGGAGACGGAGTTCCCTGACACATTTATCTCTTCTCTCTGTCCTGTGTGTGTAGCCGTGGCAACAGTGGGATGAAACCACTGGAGGGTGCGTGGCTGGGAGCTCAAAATGGGAGTTTTGCAGCCACACTGGTTCAGTCCTGACTGAATATCTGGACAAGTCAGTGAAAACTACACTGAAGACAGACTTTATTTTAATGTACACATCCTGTAAAATTCATCTAAATTATGATATTGCTTGAATCACTCTCACCTCACATTCCGTTGCATGTTTTTGTGGGAAATGTGTGATGTAAATAAAGTTGTATGGGTTTTTCAATTTCCTGATTAAAGGAAAATTAGGTCCAGGTTGGAAATATCCAGAAGGACTGGCTGATTTAACAGGTTTTCTATCAGATTACAGAGCGTCTCCTCCTGTAGTGGATCAGTCCTGAGGACAGAATCACTGCTCCCAACAGCAGAGCAACAACTCCACCAATCACGAAGCTCCTCTCAGACTGATTAAAGGAAGAGTCTGCAACAAAATGACAAGAGAAAAATCTGTTATATATGTGCAGAATACACAATGCCTGTTAATGACAAAATAATGCTGTACTGAACATAAAAAGGAAGCTGTATTGTTCCAGAACAAGTTAAAGGGGAACTCTGGTATTTTTCAGCTTGGACCCTTTTTCTCATGTTTTTGTGTCTAAGTGACTCATGTGACTCATTAACTTAGCCTGTTTCACAGCTGCAGCGCTCTCGCCCAATACTGGACCTATTTCAAAAACTGTCGTTCCCATGAGTCCCTGAGACACAAAAACATGGGAAATAGGGTCCAGGTTGAGCAGTTCTTTGAGTTTGCTCATCTGATCCAATCAAAAATAAAATCTTAGCTCCATCCTCACCCCAGTCAGAAATCTTGGGCTCCCTGAGGCTGATGTGCTCCACCACACAGCTGACCCTGTCCTGTCGGCCAGGTGTGAACTCCAGGAAAGAGTGGACATGGTAGGTCCAGTCTCCGTTTGTCATCACCTCGGTTGAGGTCACACGTGAAGTCACTTCCTGTCCGTTGTTTTGCCATGTCATCCTGATATGTTTGGGGTAGAAATCATAAGCGCTGCACACCAGCATGGTGTCGTGACTGGAGGTGGTGGTCTCTGTAAGAGTGATGTTGGGTTCAGCTGAAATCAAAATCAAAAATCTTTTTTAATGTATTTTCACTGAGAAATTTAATGCAAAAATTGAAAATCTGTGTAAAAGAAGGTGGATGGATCTGCACTGTGATGGGAACATTTTGTTTTTAACCATGTTTAACCTATAATGTATGGTATTTGGTATTGCTATGATGTATGATGTGTGGTGCTCATTTAAACCCTACTGTGACAGCAGCGAGAGACACCAAGGTTGCAAGCCAGACAGGCTCAGACACCAAGTGTCCTTGTTAGTCTCAAGAGATGTTGTGTTTTAGGAATGTCAAGGCGCCACATATGTTGACTGTTGATGTGCATGTGTTATGGGAACTATAAAGATAGCAGGGTGAGAGGACTTGCTAGGCACTCGTTCACTGACTGACTGTTCATGCGGTTGTATGTGTGAGTGTCTCCATTCATGAATGCTTATTAAAACTCAAGAAAGACAGCTGACGTGTGAAGACTTTTTCTTTAAACTGTTCATTAAATAGTTGTTTTGCCACCACAAAATTGGCGACCACGAAGGGACCTCATCTGTGAGCGGATTCTGGAATTCTGGAATGAAGGTGTGAAGACTGTGCGCACAGCAAGAGCCAAGGCTCTTACCACCTCAAACTCCCCCACAAAGGAAGGTTGAGAGGAGGGCCTGACGTCTGGAAAACCGGGATTCCCTTCACTGTTGGGGTCCAACGAACTTGGTGGCTATCAACACCTCGCTGTCTTTTCTGGTGAGTTTTGAGGACTGCGCAGGAAAAGTCTTTTCCACCTACTGAGATAGGTTGGCAGACGTGCCAGGCACCGTTTCTGGGAAGCGGAGTGCAGGAAAAGTGATGAGCTTGGTTTAGGTCAGGGACCTAAAGTAGTGTAGGTTAGGAACCTAACACGACACCTGATTATTTCAGCCGCTAAAGGTGGAAGAAAAGGTAGTTAGAGAAGTAGAGACACTTGCTATCAAAGTGGAACAGACAGAGTGAGTGAAGCACATCTTTTTCTTTATTTCCTTTTTGCAAGTCGTGCGCGTTTTAGGGTAAAAGGGAAAAAAATTCCTTTAAAGTGATAAGTTTGTGCATTTTTTGAGATTGATTTTTGCTTCCACAAATTTGACTTACTTCTAAAACTACTAAGAAAACTGAGAGTTTGATTACAATGGGATCTGGACAGAGCACAACCTCAAAGGGGAAAATTGAGCCTGATTATGGTGCTCCCAACATGAGGGTTATGGAGATTAATTATGGAAAGGAGAGCGTGGCTCAGTTAGATCTGTGGGTCAATATGTGCTGTTTTCCGAGAACAGCGTGTTAAACAGCTCGAGGCTTTAGAGGTGAGGTTGACAGACTTAGAAAGAATTGGTTTAGAAGGGAAGTTTGGATGTAAGGTCAAGTTCCTGGCAGATTGGTCAGCTTTTAGTAGTTGGATGAGGGAAGCCAAGCATAGGCAGGGCCCCAAAGGTTTCCCGGTGCAGTGTTCGAAGCTGGATTCGGACCTCGACTCGGCTCCACCTGTATGGCCCCCACCATATGTTGAACACCATGAACCGGAGGGAGCAGCTGGCCTCTCTGAATCAGCACTGCTTACAGAGACATTGTTCTTCGGCTGATGACAAGATTGAAAATGAAGTTTCTGGGACTGGGGAAAAGTGGTGGCGGTTAAGCAGGATGCAGATGAGACTGTCTCTGCTTATCTATACCACCTGAGACAAGCAGTATGGTGGACTGACCGAAATTGAGGAAAGTCAAAAGGAGGACAAAAAGACAATGACCGTTGTTTCAAGTGCGGCAAAACATTGGACACTGGGCAAGAAACTGCTGTAAAGGGGGAAACAACAAGAAAAAAATGGGGCAGATGAGTCAGATTGACTATGTGGTGACGACACTGGCCTGGAAACCAACCAACGCTTCAGACACATGAGAACACTGACACTAAAACAAATACAGAAACACACAACACGCACATCATGACTGATACAGAGTATGAGCTTGTTTCTGACACAATTCTGCACCTTGAATCTGAACAGAGAGAGAGTGAGCATAGCAATATGCTGGCTGATTTTTCAGCGGAGGCATACAAAAAGGAGGCCTCGATACACACTGTCAGTTAAAGGTGTTGAATTCTCTTTCCTGGTGGATTCTGGGGCCACAGAATCAGTCATAAGACGTTGTGATTTTCATCCGAATGCTAAACCTAAACTAAGTGGGAGATATCAGAAAACAGTTGGGGTTGCTGGAGTAGCGATTATTGAAAAATACACTGCTCCGCTGAATTGTTTTGATTCTGAGACAGGGAAGTCTTTCAAACGCTCGTTCTTATATTCTGACAAATTCCCCATCAATCTGATGGGACGAGATCTCATGTGTATGTTGGGGATTGTTTTGATTTGTACACCTGAAGTCATTCAGGTGAGGAGAGTGAATGAAATGAAGGAAAGTTCTGTTTTTTTCCAAAACGCTGAGGGACAGTTTGTGTGCGAGTGGAAGACAAATCTCTCTGTCTCTGTTTTACTGCAGCTCTCAGACACACACACACACACACACGCTGATGTCACATGCCTGCACTGTACAGCACAAACGGTTCCTATTTCACACACTGACCATGATTATGAGGACATCTGGTGTAGTACAGGACAAGACATGGATAGGTTACAGCTAGATTGGTTGTATTGGAATGACGTTAATTGTGCTGTCTCGGTGAAACTTCGTGATCGATTGCATGAGTTGATCTTGTCACAAAACTCTGATCCACACATCTCACTGGTAAATCCCAACCGCGCAGACCTGGGTCTGTGATACTGGTTTACAAGAGGGTTTTCCAGTTATGCCATAGAGTTTTGCAAAAGATGTGTGATCTGTGCTACTATACTTTATAGTATACCTTTTATACTAATACTTTTGATCACTTGCAAATGGATTTCATTGAACTAACAGCTAAGCAAAGGGAAAATAGTTTATTTTGGTGATTGTGTGCATGTTTTCATAATGGGTTGAAGCTTTTCCCACAGCTAAACAGGATGCAGCAGCGGTTTAGTTTAGGCATAGGCTTTGCTTCCTGCTTCTTAAGAGTGCAGACGCTTTCCTGCTTGCTCCAGCCTGCTTCCTTCTTTACTCTGCTTTTTAATCGTTTTACTCCTTCTACAAATCCTGGAAAATCTCTATATCCATCATTTCATGAATTAGTAAACCAAGACTTTGAAGAACATTTTTATATTTTTAACCGATCTGACGAGCCAGCAGCATGTCCGGGGGAAGAAGCCAAACAAATTCCTTCTGTGAACGCTGTCGGAGATATCAACAAGAAATTAATGAGCTACAAGCATGGATTTTTGCTTTAGAATCTGAAAAAGGACTTCACAAGACGCTCCCAGTGACATCCGGTGGAAAGAAGCCCACAGTTATTTTCAGTAAAAAGGGTGAAAAACCTGCTACTTTCATCTTAAACCTGAGTGATACTGTGTCTTTTCCAAAATTCTGTAAAGACCAAAATGTCTCATCCTGGAGAGAACTTGGTGCTAAGCCAAAGCAGCACAAAGTGATGAGAGACAATGTTAATACCTACGTAACATCACCCAAAATACAGCTTACAAACAGATTTTTGCCACTGTCAGAGACTGAATTTAATGTTTTTAATGATCAAAGAGAAAATGGATTATCTTCATGAAATTGGAGCCATAAAGTCGGCAAAAGACAGCAGGCAGACA